TATACACTGACATGTCTATATTGGTTTGTTGATTTTCTGTCTATTTACATGTAATTTATAAAGGGCACTTTTTATGCATAAATTCAGATTTAAAATGTTTCTGTCAGTTACTTCCTTTTCTGAGAAACAGAGTGGTGTTCACTGGAAACATAGCAGTGAGGAGAAAAAGGGGAATTTTTCCCCATTTCTGCAGTTTTAAGTGTGTGTTTTATAAGCTTGTGTTAGAGAAATGTATGTAAACCAGAATTTCATCCAATTCTGTGCACAGGTTACTCTTGCTCCGGTTCCCAGTTTGCACTGTAGCTATGGCAGCCGTTCGGGCTGGTGTATAGTGCTGCCTGCAGATTGGGGTAGCGCAGATAGAGCGTGTGGTTTGGTTTGGTTTGGTTTGCTAAAGGGACCAAGTTTACGCAGTTGTGTTCTGCATCACCTCTGCTGTTTCCCTGGAAGCCTTAAAACCCCTGGGCCGTTTTCATCTCAATGCGAAAATGGGCAGAAGTCGCAAAGATAACGTCACCCCTCGCAAATGACAGCTGGTTAATGGAGAGAAACTCAGCTTATTGCCTTCACTGAAAAAGGCAGAATTCATCTGCTGCAAAGCTGGCCGCGCTGCGCAGCCTCCCGTTCGTCACGTTGTTTGCTGTCTCTTGCCTAGCGAGGCAATGCCTTGAGGAATCGAGGGGAAAGGAGAAGAGCTTGTGGTGGTGGATGGAGTGGGAAAAGGGGAGAGAGAGAGAGCACAGCAGTCTCTTGAAAACCAGACTTCATTTGTGGACTCTGCGAAGCAGTGGACGTAGTCGCGGTATGTTTGGGGTATTTTCTCCATCAGGGTTGTGCAGATAGAAATCCCGTTGTATTGCTGCCTGACTGCTTTGTCCAGTCAAGGCTCTAGTAACCAGCTGCACTTCAATGGGTTGCTTCTGTCAAAAGAAATGTGACTTTTTAATGCAAGGAAATAAGCTGTTACTTTCTGCAAAAGGTTAGAAGAGACTAGGTGGTCAGCATCTGTACTATATACCCTTGACTGGTATCACTCTTACCTTGCAGTAAAACTACATTTTTTACAGATTTAGAGGGTGCCATAGTATCTTGTGGAGAGGTTGACCTTTTCTAGAAGTACAGATGAGGTTACAGCTAACTTTAGTGAACTTATCGTGACAACAGAGCAGTTTTAAATGAGTGAATTTATGCGTAGTTTTCAGAGACAATTTAACACAATTTTTCAGAAAAAAAAATAAAATCCATTTAAACTTTATATTTGTTCCTCTGTCTGTGTTCCAAAATGAATAGTTTGAAATGTGTACTTGATTTTTTTTCTTATCCATAATGAAGTCTTTATGGCTTTGCCTTTATTTCAGAGACAGGCATGGACACATTTAACCTGTAAGATGCCTTCCTAAATCCTTTATTTTATCCTAAAATAGATAAAATAAAATGCCTGAAAAAAGTTTTGCAACCTTTGTTATAGCCAACGTTCATACTTACTGGAATTCATAGGTTGTTAGTTAATATGTGTGACTGCTATAAAATAAGCATTGTACATCCTACTGTAAGAGGAATCTCAATGCTTTAAAATAATTAAAATAACAAATCCTGTTAATAGGACCAGATTGTGCTTCTCCCCCATAAAATCTGAAAAGCTGATGCCTCTCTTTAGAGAGAGAGTTTCGTAGAAATGGGAGGAAAGAAGGCTTGTATATGTTACAGTTTGGTTTGGTTTTATGTTGAAAACTGTGATGTGGCTTTGCACAGCTACAACAATGGAGTCTGAAACAACAGCAGAAGGAGAGGTGTGAATTCAGCTCTCCAGCCGTTGTCATCATATATGCTTTTACTTTTGAAACTCGTTTATCACTGCTTTACTAGCCCAGTTAATTGCTTCATTGCTTTGCAATGTACTGTTTATTCCAAACAGCTCCTTATTCTGAACATTCTACTTCAAGAAGTAAAATCCTTTAAAAATTAATGGTTTCACAGCATGACTTATGCATAATTTTGATTTCAAAAGGCATACTCATACATAAATTCCGTATCGGAGGGAGAAGTTGAAGAAAGCTGGCATCTTTCGTATGTGAGTGTGTGTCACGGGGTAGTAAAATGTGTAGCCAGCATGGGAAAGACCTTGCCTTTAGAGTAACCTATATTTTTGTAATCAACCTGAAATTGTACTGTACTTAATAAAAATTGGTCAGTGCTAAATAGGATCTTTTTTGTCATAAATAGGGGAAGGAAAGAAAGACCATGAAAAGTGTGAATTTTAAGAATACAAAAAGGAAACCTTACCGACTAGTGCTCTAAGATACTCATAATAATATTTCCATTTAATGTGATAAAAATACTACCTTAAATCTTAAAGGAACATGCAGACAGGGTTCTTTGAGACACTTATCTCGTGTGCTAAAAGCCTCAGTCTTTTTAATGTATTTTTTTTAGTAGTATGTGCAATGCCTCTAGCCTATGAGAGGGGAAATTCATACTCAAAGACAAATCTGAGTTGCAAGCAAAATCCAAAAGGAGCAAAACCACCTCAATGCTCAGAGCTGCTGGGTGTTTGCCAGCACAGGATTCACAGGTCAGTGTTGGATGCCCAGCTTTCCTCTCTCTAGGCAGAAGGGATGTAGGACAGGAATTTTGGAAGGCGTTTCATTGCTACTGATGGGAAAGAGAAAAGCAGGTGCTTCCCTTCCCCTGTTCTTTCCTTGCTTGAGTATTCTCCCAGGCTGTCATGGCTGTGGCAAACTGAACTGGGAAACAGATTAGTAAAACAGTTTGGGGAAGGAGGGAGATTTGAAATTTCATAACCAGTCATTGGGTAGTATGCATAAATAGACCTTGAAGCGCTCTCTTTCCTTCTTGGAAGCACCTCATCTATTAGACTCTCTTTCATGTATTTTTTATGGACCACTGGAGTTTAATCTTTCTTTCCTTCTCCTTTTCCTTCCTTATGGAAAATGGTTTGTAAGTTACTGGCTAGAGGACAGGCCTAGGGCTGAACCCCTTCAGGCGAGGGGAAGAACTAATCTTGGCTCTGCTGTGTCCTGGATAAGTGCTTTATCCTGGGTAGTATAAAACAGGCACCACTGCAGTTATTTTTCTATACTGGACAAGAGTGGTGACTGCCACCGAGTTCTGTGCCAGATGTACACGTGTGCACTCTTGGGGCTGGCAGTAGCTCGGCTGAGGGTGTGATCCGGCAAAGTGCTGGCTTAGGAAGTTTTTTCCTACTCCATACTAGTTTGTTGCGTCTTTAGTTCTAGCTGCACAACTCTTTGTGAGGTTGTCACGTAAATCAAATCCCTGGTACATATTTTTTTTTTATAATCATTATTAATGAGGGATAATTTGAGAAATCTGGGTTAAAACATGGTTCAACCAAAAAATCCCCAATCTATATCCACACAATTAAGGATGTGATAAATATTGATTGGAAACAAGAATTTCATAAGCATTTTGATGTTGACCAGCACCCTCCACTTCTGTTTCTTTTGCAGGGTTGCTGGTTTGAGTTGCTTTCCCTGACTTTTTCTTGCTCATTCATTGTGAGAATGCCACCAAGTTTTGCCAATATGTTTTTTATGGTTATGTGGTTACATTTTTCACATATGAGTTTCTTGATTCAGTTTCCAAAATGGCCACAAAGAATGCTTGTTTCAGCATTCCAGAGGGACAGTGGGGGAGCGGAACAAGTGATTCATGGGGGGTGAGAAGAAGTTGACACAGATTAAATAAACGGCTAACCACAGCTTCAGAGAGCACTTCTCCTCCACGAGAAGTAGGTGGGCAGGTATCTCATTTCTGATCCATTACTAGATTTAGGTTTGCATTAAGTGTCATATTACTTGACCTTTTTAGCTGTCTGGGCACATGCCAAAAGAAAAACCCAAAATCAAAAGCCTTTACAGAACATTTGTGCTGAAAATTTAGACTTCGATTTTGAGGATCTCTGTCTTGAAATGAATATCCTAGGCTAAGGACGAAGCTAAGTCTCTTGGTGGATTTAACCGTAAGCATGCTGCATGAGTTCATGACAACTTTGTGAAAGCAGGAGTCTGGATGCAGATCTTGTGAAACCATGTCCTCCCAAATACTGTGGTAGCTCTGGGGTGTTTTAAGTTGCCTGCACTGTGGAAAAGTACATAGTAGTCACTTAAAGAACTGTGAGCAAGAAAAGGTGCTTCCCTCAGTGTACGTCATTAGGGTTCATCTCCTTTATGTCCTAGGCCCGTGCATTCCTTTTACGTTTTCTCTGTACCTCTTGTCTTCCAAGCTGCTCCGTGTATGGGCAGGTGTGAGCAACCTGGTCTGGTGGAAGGTGTCCCTGCCCATGGCAGGGGGGTTGGAACTGTATGGTCTTTAAGGTCCCTTCCAACCCAAACCATTCTGCGATCCTATGAATAATTTTTCTCCCCATACACCCTTGCTTTTCTCCGGTGTTGACTTCGGCTGTGCTACATTTCATTTCAGACACATAAGGCTTCATGCAGTAGGAGTGGTGGTATACTGATGTGTTTTCTTGATGGGTTTTTTTTTTCCTCTGCATGCACAAACCCTCTTACTCGCTCCACGTATGCTGAGTTTTGTTTTGGCCACCTTAGGCTAAGTGTGAAGCAAGACTTGAACATGTGTGGCAGGGAGAGGGTTGATTCCTTATTGCATCTTTCCATTGGTTTTTTTTTTTTTCAGTTTGCAGGGTCTTGGTAGATGTCTGTTTTACCATAACTGTCTGACAGCCCTGTACATATAATTACTGGACTGATGTTTGTGTGCCTGTTAGTTGAAGAGTACACCATTAAATGATCATACCTTTTTCACAAGGTTAGGTTTGGAGGAAGAGAGATGAAAGTATGAATGTGAAGAGAAATAAAATAACAAGGGAATATACATTAAAACTAAATCATGTACATCAATTTTAAAATCACATGGGACTTTTATCATCTGCAGATAGAATCGCTGCACCTTGATATTGTGTGAACTAAGACTTGTGTTATTGTCTTCAGCAGAACGTCCAACAGCAGTCATACCTTATCGTCTTGTCAAACTATGGAGCCCTGTACCTCAGATGAATTTTTTCAGGCTCTCAACCACGCTGAACAAACTTTTAAAAAGATGGAGAATTATCTTAGACACAAACAGCTGTGTGACGTTGTGTTAGTCGCTGGTGATCGTAGAATTCCAGCTCACAGGTAAGTTTATTATAATTTGAAGAAACTTCATGTTCATTTACAAATGCACCTTCCAAGTATGTCCTGTGTTTTGTTTAAAAAAATGTCAGAACATCCTAAACAATTTAGAATACTGTAAACATCCTTATGCTTTTAACATTTATTTGGAAACTAAAAGTTAATTTCTGCTTGTTGTATGCAACGCAGCATCAAAAATAGTTGTCATGTTTTCACCTTCCACTTTTTGTCTTCAAGCATATTGCAAGATAATTGCATAACAAAATAAAACCCCCAGAAGTCCCTCAGAATATTATAAATAGTAGTGGTTTCTGTACCATAGCATGACGTAAAAAAATTTTCTTGGATTTAATTTTTCATTTGCACTAACAATTGAGTCATAATTAGCAATAAGGACAGTCTGTCCACATAAAGGTTTTTTTGCTCCCATAGTTAAGAAGAGTCCTTTGTTAGTGGAGTACTGAACGCTGACAGTGAGTGTTCCAGGGCTAAATTAGGTCAAACATTACCCTGTCTGTCATCTGTGTAATTAACTGATGATATAGCTTGCCACTTAAAAGCTAGGAAAATACCGAAGATTGTGAAACAAAAGTAAGAATAACTAAAGCACGTTGCAGTACTTAATGCACAGTATTAATAGTTTGAATAGGAGCTTTGGTATAATTAAGCTCTGGTTTCCAAAGATTAGGTCTACAACAGAAATAGCAGCCTAAAACATTCCTGTTTGCCATTGCTCATTCCTACCCCTACTGTGAAGCTACAGCTTAACACTGTAATAGTAATAAAAAGGTGGAAAGAGGTTGCTGTTTTGGGTTTGGTATTTTTCTTAAAAAGCTGGATCTCTGCTTTTATTGAGATATCCACGCTGTTATGCTGAGACACTGAGGGAATGATGGCGTGGGGATGGGAACTGACTTGAGGAGCAGGGGCTTTGTTGTTTAAAAATGAAGTTTCATAAAGTCAAGACTATCCTTGATTTTTCCAAGTTGATTTAAGCAAATCTTGCTGCATTTACTGCTAAAATGGGTGGTCCTGTTCTCCACCCAAACCCTGACCTGAATTCCTTTGTAAACACTTACAGCCACGTAGCTGTGGATGATGATGAATCCTTTTTGGAGAGACAAGATGATTTGGCTTTTCCTGTGGTTACAGAGTTGCTTAAAATTAGTCTTCGTTTGTTTAAATTAGTTGCAAAACTGCATTGTCCCTATGGAAAGAGCG